ACCGTTCTTGTGATCATTTTGACCCCACAGGGTGAGATCTTGCGTGGAGCCCCAGATCGAGGGAGATTATCAGTGGTCTTGTGTGTCTTCCATTTTCTAATAATTGCTCCCACAGTTGATTTCTTCACACCAAGCTGCTTTCCTATGCAGATTCAGTCTTCCCAGCCTGGTCCAGGTCTCCAATTTTGTTTCTGGTGTCCTTTGACAGCTCTTTGGTCTTGGCCATAGTGGAGTTTGGAGTGTGACTGTATATCCAGTCTCTGATTGTGTTACGTTATGAGAGTGCTCTCATACTTTAAATTGTCAATGAAGTAAAAGTAAATATATAAGTCGTCATGAACACATCTGTCCATCAGACAGAGTGCTGCTGTGCCTCCTGTCATCATTAACGTCTCTTTAAAATGACCGCTCAGAGGAGAGGAGTTCTCCGCCTGCTGCTTCCCCTCCTCTCTCCTCGGTTCCCCTCCTCGACTCCTCCGCTTGCATCTCCTGTGGGTGGGACTAACTCACGAGGATAGGAGTCGAGGAGGGGAAATTTAAGAATTGAGAAGCCTCTAGAGTCCAACCCCACAGTCTGTGTGTCCAACCCCCATGTCCTGCAATACACATGCTGCAGCTGCCCAGCTGCTCACTGTTTGTAAAAGTAAATAAATAGCATTTTCATTTCAATAATGTACTTTCTATACCCTGCTGATGAGGCTGTTAAACGGGCAGCGGATCCGCTGTGTGTAGAGAGAGAGAGAGAGAGAGAGAGAGAGAGAGAGAGAGAGAGAGAGAGAGAGAGAGAGACAGATAGATCAGCTGATACGGAGCATAGAGAGAGAGCTGCGGTCCGCGGGGCTCGGCCTCCGCCTCCTGTCCTCACAACTCTTATTTGTTCTTACTCGGAACCAAGTTTTGCTTCCCAACCCTGCCACTGTGCTACACGTCCCGCCCCGCCCCCGTCTAACAGTACAGAAAGCGGCGGGATGCATTTCCTTAGGAATCGACAAGCAAAACCACAAAAATGGCAGACACAGACAATTTTCAAATGAGTTCTGCCTTTTGTAAACTGAATTTATCAATAATTTGTCAATAAATAATGGCGAAAAACGTCACTTGCCCATCGGACAAGTCAATTGAAAGATCTACTTGTCAGATATTGTAAATAACACGACCCTGCTTTTTTGCAAACTGGCATTAATGTGACCACTTTTAAGTTGTTGTGAATGTATTTAAAAAGGTAAATATATGAGATCTAGACATGTAGTGATGATGTGTTGCTCTGAATGTTCCTCAACTGGTGATAGATTGTTGAATTAGGCCCCTCTGAGTTGTGAATCACATTCACCTGGGCAGTTGACATTTAATCAATAAACATCTGAACTGTTGCCCTGACCCCCGAGCTATAAGGATTTCATTTGGCTTTGCCAACACCAACGACTGCAAGACCCCCATGGATTTCCAAGGCAAACCACTAGTCATCTGTGGTCCATTTCAACTTCCCACAAGCGGATGAAAACAGAAATCTTATGCTCTATTTTCTGCAAGACAAATAATCAAATGTTTCTCACAGTGTATGGCAATACGGTGTAATCAGGCCTGTGTCAACAATTCAATAACAATGAAAATAATTGAGTTCAATTCTAATGACGACATGAAAGATTGGCCCTTTTTTTCATGTAGATTTAAATAACTTTTCTTTAAATTCCACACTTACATCCTTTAAAAACTAAAAATCTTAACACCTCAAATTGGTTTAAGACCAAAGGTTGGAGAGAAACAGTAAAAGTATTTAAATATTTCCCTTAACTGTTACCACTAAGTAAGTACATGAACAAATTGCATATAAATTAATAAAGCCAGTGTTTGTGCAAAAGTGTTTTTTTTGGAGTTAAGTCATTTTATTTGAACACAAGATACTGAAACCTGATATAATGTGACCATACCGCAATGAGTTCATGGAAGTGGCATACATGAATCTTTCACCTCAATAAATATTTAATCTTTGCTCTAAATCATTTACAGCAAAGCCCTTACTGTTGTTCTTCAGGCAACATGTGCATGTAGTGTACATGGTTTTATCCCCACTTCATCCCCTGGCTCCCTCTCTCCCTTTCCCCTCGCTCCCTCTCTATCTTTCCCCTCGCTCCCTCTCTATCTTTATCTCTCTCTCGCTCCCTCTCTATCTTTATCTCTCTGTCAGTAGGACAAGCTGCTCAGTGGCCCGGAAATATGGTGCATTATGCCGCTCTATTGATCGTCATTCAGAGTTACACCCTGAATCTGAATGCAATGTAAATGATATGATGATTCCCTCTAAGGCAACATTAACTTTACTATCATTCCGTGTTTTCAAGTGCAAAGGTTGACTTCATGAGACGATGAACTGAACACTAAGGTTCACTTAAGAGTGTGGTTGAGCTGGTAGATGGGCATACAACAAAAACAATTTCAGAGCCGTTATGTTTAAAAGATGGCAATAGCGTATGAGATCAATAACAACTGAATGACTCTTTTAATTAAGAGACTGGTTTATTTCCTAAAACATGAAATCAGTTTAGCTTAGGAGTCAACTATGCTATCTAGTTAAGGGGTCAACTGGAGGTCATCTGGGGTTTCCGGCTGAATGAGTATGCATATGTGGAAAGAAACACTAGAATATGCATGACTGCTATAAATGCCATGTTTAACTAGTCTTGCTTGTACGTAGCTAGCCCTGTGTGAAATGTAACTAGAACTAATGTATATGTCACAGACTTACATTTACAACAGAAAGATTATAACTACTGGGTACAGGAGATGCGCTGTATTCTTGAAAAATCAATTTTTTTATCAAAAACCAACTTCCACATTAATCCAGTGTACTGAAGAGGAAATATTGTATAAAACGGACAACTCAGCTACAAAGATTTGTGAAAATGCACAGATAAACCATTAATCTTTTTTTTTGCACAATCGTAACTGTCAGACCTTTTAATCTGTGTTTTAATATGTCTGTTTTTAAAGCACTCGCTGGAGCAGTGACTATAAATCTTGAATATACTCTTTAAGCTTTTGTCACAGAAATTATTACTTTTATATTTTAACCTTATGGATCAGAAAATGTTGCTTTTTATTTATTCTGTAGATGTGTATCACTGTTGTTTTTCAATTTAAAAGCACACTATATTTATATCTCGATTGTGGTTTATTTGAAAACACATAATCAAATTTTAGCCATGTGACTGTGTTTGTACAACATTTATCCCCATGACAACAATCTCTACACTCCTGTGGTGCACTTCATCTGTACAGGTAATGAATAAATAAAGATGACCTAACCTACTTGCCACCCCATCAAAAGCCTGATTATCAACTTTCACTTGATTCCTTTAACCTAAAATTGTGTGAATGTTTTACTGGGGTTGTTATACGGTTTTATTTTTGCAATAATAAGTTAGTAACATGTGATGTAGTTGTAACCAGGAGCAGTTCTCCTGACACTTATCATAACAATCTATGCAATATGAAGATTTAAAGAGTTGTTATGTCAGCTATGTACGATTGATTGTTTGTTCAGTCAAAAGAAACGGATCCATTTAACCACATGCAAATCAGGTCCAGCTCTACTCCATCAAAGGAGAGCTGGTACACTTTTTCAGTTTACTTACAACAATAACAGTTATATGTGACAGATAGCTGGCTTTCAACTATAAATAAAGTAACAAAAACACAAGGATCAATAGTATGTATAGACAAGAACAGAAACAAATGTTATTTTCCACAAATCAAAGCAATAGAGAGCAGCAAGCAGCATGTGGGTTATACGTATAACACCACTAAGCCTTGCTTTATGATGTCTATTCTGTAAACAATCCCTACCAGCAACAGACAGTTATAGCAAATCAAATCACAGCTCCTGGAATAATCCATGTGAAATCTCTCAACACTGCACCCACAAAAAGTTTCTCCGCCAGAACTTGTGATATAACTTTTCCACAAAATGTCCTTAACTCTGCCTCAGTGATACATTTCACTGAGATTACTTTACGTCTGGGAAGTTACAATTGACATTCAGCTGAGATTAAATAAATCCATTAAAGGAGAAATAGAAACGTTCAGTCTCTGTGTCACTTTCATTTTCTTTGCCGCAAAAACAACAATCACTTGAACAGGTTTTTACTTGAATCCTTGTGGATGGGTGGCAATTCAATTAGCCATATGCAACATGTTCTACAATAACACTTGCACCTTGACAATACCAGTGGCATGGCCTGTGTGAAGAAAACACTTACCTCATCACTTCTGCCTTTCTGCTCTACAGTTGGAGTGCGTTCTCTTTCTCCGTCTTGACCTCTGATGCCTGTTTCACAACAATGTCATAATTATTATCAGTTTGACACTTTACATACATTTGATTTATTTTACTTTATCATCAAGCTATATTAGCTAACAATACAGTTCAGTCTTAATCCTCACCTGCTTAGCTTGGACTGTCCCTGCATTGCCTTCGTTCTGATACCACACCTGGTATGACCACACTATCAATATAAAAATCATGCTCTGTTGGCAACAGCTAAACAAAAATGCAAATAGTTCACTTCTTTGTTAGAAACCACCAGATGTTGTGTATCAGCTACACCAGATTGGGATCATTGGCAATAAAGGCCTATTTTTAGTGCATCACATTAGCCTTATCACCCACAATCTAAGCCCAGTCCATGGTTTGCTGCTTTACATCAACTGTGTACATGCCTGACTTTGTGCTCTATTGAGACACAAGAAAAACACAGTCTCGAGTTTGAATCCAGTATAAACCACCTTTCAGACGCTATGTAATATTACAGGAAACTACCAGGACCAACTCAGGCAGGCTATTTAGCTTTCAGGCATAACACCAATGTACTTGTTTTAATGTATGCTTAGGTTTAGTGCACACTATGGTAAACTATCACGTAATGATAATAATCGTAATACCAGGCCCAATACATATTCAGTGTTACAGTAATGGATGTTACAGTAAGGGACATGGGTGAAACTAAATGTATTCAGGACATCCTTACTCTCAATATCAAACTCTTCCAAATTCAAGACAGGTGAAGTCCTTCTTGAGCATTTCTGTAGAAATCTGGGAAAACCCACTCATTTACACAAATCTTAGAGGCGTGTTTCTAAACTTTAATGAATAGGTTAACAAAAAAAACAAGTTTAGGCTATTTTCAAATTATGCTTTCTACTGCGTTTTATAACAGATTAAGTTATCCCCACAATAACACACGGTAGGCTAGCTGCCAAGTGAGCTTGTGTCTAATTTTAGGCAAAAAATGTGTAAGCTAATGGGCTAGCTTAACGTATTGGAATTAGCAAGCTTTTGCTAAAAAGGTAACATTTTATGCCAATAACTTTTTTTTTTTTTCAAGGAGACGCGGCTTTATGCTAATGTTAACGAACATTGGCTTAAATATGTCTCACTTACCATTGTCGTCCTCAGTGCGCACTGGCACAGCGACGCTATAAACCAACAGGTGCTTTGCAATGGACATTTCGGCTGGAAGAATGTTTCCGTTCGGCCCTGCCCCTCCACCCCCTTTCATAATACACTTCAGCTAGCTGGCAATTGTCATGTCGGACTCATTTGACGTTATACGAGATAGACCGGATATAATAAATCAGAATCACTTTTCTGTCAGCTAAAACTGTCCATGTCATAGGAGTGTTAGCAGCTAACTATGGAAAGCCTAAAGTGCCACCATTCGTCCGTTTAAAGCGCGCGTTTTTTTTGCGTTCTTGACGCGTCTAGAAATGTGCGTATATTCGCACGAAAAACGCGCGAAAAACGCCCGTTTTTTAATAAGATAATGAGCCCCTCCTTCTGATTTCCATAGCCACTAAATTTAAGGTGTCTGTAATCAATCAGTGAAGAGTAAAGCCAGACCAAAGCAATCCGTAGATGAAAAGTTCCTGACATTTTTAGGCTTTGCTGTAAATTGTATATTATTCCAGATTCAGGGGAACAAGTATTAATTTTCCTTTGAATATAATCAATAAATCAAACAATATAAGATATACAGGTATATATATAAAAAATACAATTGCCTTATGCTTTTCCTTAACCCTCTGGAGTATAAGGATATTTTCTCAATATGTAGACGTCTCCTTAAATCACCTTTTAAATGTACTTCTTAATAACG